ACTCGTCTTCAAAGAGATAATTTGAAAATTCCAGAAAGCGTTAATTTTAATTATTAATCAACGTGTGATCTTTTTTCAACCTTGTAATACAAAACTAAGATAGATATCCACCCGACCGTTCCTATTAGTAGCAAAGGGACTCGTTAGAATATGAACCTCTTCATTTTTCAATAAAGAAAAAAATCGTACGTGACATACCTAATTTTATTGAAATACAGTTAATGGAAAACTTATTTAAAAAGCGAAAAACAATGAACATCAACAGAAAACACATTTGTGAAACAATGATTTATAGTTAACCAATATTCAAATTTTACACGAAGTTTTGAAAGAGATATATGGGATTAATTTTTAGAAAGTTATTTATATTGATTTAAATATATAAAATTTAAAAATAAAATTCAATAAAAATTCAATAAAAATTAAAAAAAATTATAATATACCATTCGATATATTCGTCTTATAATATCTTTCAACAATATTACAAACTCACTAGTGAAAATAATAAGCACCAATATTCTACTCATTGTCAGTAGAATCTATCGTATACTCGAGATCACTTGCGGTGAACGTTTATGCAGAAAAATTTAAATGGATATTTATTTATCGTTCATATTTCTTAATTATATACTAAATTTTAGAATATCTAGTAATTAAAAATTATATTATTTTATTTCTAAATTACTTTTATATTAATAACGTAATAATTCTGCTGCCCTTTATTTCCCCTAGAGAAGCCTGATTTGATCGCGAGTATACATACCACAATTGCAGTAGTGGATCATTTCACAACCATATTTCGGTCTAGATAAATTTACATTATTAGTGTTTCATGTCTTCTGCAGACCTGACAAACACTGGCTCCAGCAAATATGAAAATGATAGCTTATAACTGATGCTAAAATTACGTAATGAGATACATGAAATGTATTGATTTTAATGAAAAATTTAATATACGCTTACCGTCGTAAAATACTAACTAGTCATTGTATACGAAATCGATCACTTTTTAACATTGATGTCAAAGATTTTGTTCCAGATGAAGTATGACGTGCACGTAAAATTAGGGAAAGGGAAGTTCAAGTCATTATTTTAAGTAATTATTATCTATTATCAATATTTTCATGAAAACGGTTTGTACTTATGAATTTTTATCTTGGAAATTGTTTATCAAATAAATCTAATTTTTTTCATTTTGATTTCGGGATATTTATTTACTGTAATAATATATTTTCAATTTAAAACATTGATTATGTAATATTAAAAATAATAAAGAAATTTTTGTTTTGTAAATTTCTTTTCGAAATAAAATTTTCAGCTTTAAAAATCTTTTGCGCCTTAACTGTAAAAATCATAGCAATTTTTCTTACAGAAAGATATGTCTATTCTTATATTATAAACGTGTTTACTCAATCTTTAAAGCGAACTTTTTTCTCGGATATTGTTTAGTTTAATTTGAAAATTAAGAATCTAAGGCAATATTTAACTACACCATACAAAAACTATTAAAGACAATTATAAAACAGATTTTGTTTTTGATGTAGAAAATAGTTTTTTCATTTATATCATGAATATTAAAAAATTGGTATTGAAATGAGCCAACAAGTTAAATATTATAGAATATTTGAAACGAATACTACTACTACAAGTACAACTTCTTTAGCAATACATATAATGTTGGAAGCGCTACTAATTATGGGAATTAAAAGTAATAAATAAAAAATATTGGAATATCGAAATAAGTTAAGTAACGAAAGCAATATCCATATCGATTGGAGTTTCAACTTAGCAAGTAATTACAAATTAGATCGAGCAATGTACAAATGGATATTACAGGAAAGAGGTAGTGGTATACCAATATCAGTTCCATTAATTCAAGATATAGCTGTTGAATTGAACTTCAAGTTAGGTGATAGTAAAAATTTTAAAACATCTGGTGGCGAAACATTTTAAGTCCAGATATGGATTACAGTGAACTCTCATTATATTGCCACGTAAGCGATTTGTCCTTCATATATATAGATTTTCAAGCACAGTAGTGCTATTTCATCAGCATCACAGTTTACGAAAATAATACACTTTTATTTTTATTTTCCTCTCTAATTCAAAATTTGGAAGCTTGGAAAATTTTCCGCTTCTATCACCCCGTTCGCGGCAATATAACGAAAGTCTACTGTAGTGACCAAAATTCAAGGCTCCGTTGGACTGATCAGAAAAAAGCCTTAAACACGCCGATATAAAATTTTTGGATTGATTGATTTCGAATCTGTCAGAAATTATAAGTCATAAAAAATACAAAATATTCCTGATGTCAAACGTGTTAAAGTTAATAAAAATGAAATTAGACTCACAAAATGACAATTGTTTAGAAGTAATTCAGAATACAATATTTCGAATGATGATGATAAATAATTACAGAGTGTTTGGTAATATGCGAGACCTGCTTCAGGACTGCGCAAGTGGCACAAAAAATAATGAAAAATTTGTATATAAACATTTGTTCACTTTGATCTTGTTTCAAAGCTATAGCCAGCTTTGTATTGCAATAATTTATGGCAATTTAATTTCATAGGAGGTGCTACAATAGTAGCGCAAACCGGGAAAGGGGGACCCCTATTTCGTAATTAAAAACTTCTTTTTTTTAACAGATACCGAAGTATTTTCAAAACTTTCAGTAAACATCGTAGGGAATAAATAAAAATGTAAAAATTAGATTTATCATTATCACAATACTAATAAAGTATAAAGAATAAAAAGCCAAGAATAAAAAGGATCAGATGCTGTATGTATTTTGTGTAAGTGAAAGTTATGTCGATTTTTAATACCTACTTTTGTATGCACTGTGGGTTGTAGGTAGGTGATCGGACCTCAGTAAAAACAGGTAAGGGGACAGGTAGAACCCTCTCAGACTATTTAAGGAACGTTTTGTGTTTGTCATTCAGTTTCCATCAAACCTTTGTATCATTTGTGACGGGTTACCGCCGGGGGTTTGTCGGCTCAGCCGGTAAGTCCGGGGTTCAGGTGATCGAATGAATAATTCAGTTGGATATGGGTGAAAAGAATAGATATATCTCGCTCTAAATCTACAAGTTATGTACTTACTCTACGGCCATAGGCGTCCTATCAGTCTAATGTGTCCATAAAACTAACGATCTTAAAGCTAGCGGTATCGAGCGGTCGCGGTCACGGCGCGGTTCGCTCGCGGTGTCGAGCGGTCATGCCACGGTCCGGTTCGATCACGGTGCGGACCGGCGGAGGTGGGGGGAATTCCCGGGATCGGGTGCTAGATCGGGACGGTAGACACAACCCGTCCTCACCCAGGCAGTAAGAAGACCTTAAACGGGTCAACGTTCGTAGACACGTGTACGTCCGGTCCGGCGGTCGGGAGACCGTCGAGAGAACTCTCGGCAGTGGCCAGGGACACAGCGGTCGGTATCGCCGGACGGCCATGAATACAACCCGTCCTGACAAACGCTGCTGGAGGAAAAATCGTAGCTGATCGTGTTTCGTATTGCTCATCCGAGTACCGATCTGGCTTCTATTGCCTCGCGGCCCGGTATATCTTCGCTCGCGACGCCGTTCGCCTCGCGAGTTCGCGGCGCGCGCGGTCGCCCCCTGTCGGCGGCGTGGGTACTAGCGGCGCGCGTGCCGGCGTGGCCCGCGGTTTCGCGGCCTCGTGCTCCTCACACATTAACATGGCTCAAGATAAAGTGCATTTGTATCATTGCATGCTCTACGGCAGGCCTGTCCAAGTAGGGGAATCCACTCCTAGAACACATGTTTTGGGTCCCCTTCCAACGCTGCTCCTTCAAGTAAGATGGGACGGTTCCGACTACCGTCTCTCCGTCTTTCCTAGCGGCGGTACTGTCTTCTCGGAGAGATGGTAGTCGGAACCGTCCCATCTTACTTGAAGGAGCAGCGTTGGAAGGGGACCCAAAACATGTGTTCCAAGAGTAAATTCCCCTACTTGGACAGGCCTGCTCTACGAGTTCCAAAAAGGCAGTAACGTAATGCAGGTAGAAAGAAACTTATGTGGAGTGTTTGGACAGGCTGTTGTAACAGCTCGAACCTGCTAAAGATGGTTCGCAAAATTTCGATCAGGTGAATTCTCCTTACAAGATGAGGCAAGGATGAAAACATCTTTGCGTCAAAAAGCGGGGACCCTTTCTCTAGGGGAGTGGATAAACAACAAGAACGATGGCAAACAGTCATAACTAACGAGGGAAATCATATTTTAAAATAAAATTTAACTAATAAGTAAGAATAAATATTTATGTTTTCTTAAAAACGACAGAACTTTCGCTTACACCTAATACATATACTTATTTTGTAAGTAATTTGGTGATACCTAAAAACAATTAATTCACCTTCTATCTTTCTCTTATTATGCATTTTTTCACGAAATAAACATCTATATTTGCAAATTGTTTTTTCAATTGTTTTATGAGATGTTTAGGAGTTTGGTTCTGTCAAAACAATTATCCGAACGACGGATTACCGGCACAATTTTTTCTCCTTATTAGTTCGGGAGTCCTTAAGACCAACACTAAAATCTTACTGGAATCTTAGGCACTAATTCCAGGGACATAAAGTAAACCCTTCTCTCATGAAGCTCATCCTCTTCGATTCTAATGGATTGCCTTGCCATTTTATCCTCCGGGGATGAGCTCGAATACCGTCTCTTTGCAAAGTTCAAATACCGCTTATCATGTTGCCATGCAAATTTTCTTGCTCCGATGTCAATTTCTATTTTCAATGCTACGAAATTCTTCAAAACTAATCAAAAGCTCTTAATGAAGGTGATTGCTACAGTGGGTGGGCGACCATTTCAATTGTTTTAATACCATATTATAAATGTAAATGTTTTGCTATTAGATTGTTGGGAAAGGCCTTATATCATTCGAAGCTTATAATTTAACGAAAATAGTTATATTAAACAGCAACATATCCTCAAATTTATCAGTAAATCAACCATAATATTGAGTGCAAAATATTCTTACCTGAAGTTGATTCTGCTCGATTGTAGTACAGCTTGGTCTGTGTTGTTGTTGAAATTTTGGTTGATATGGTTCCAACATCCTGATCTTACCCCATCGATTGAAGAACAAAGCAATTGCTGCGGCCCATAGGAAAAGTACTAGAATAACTATCAAAGCTTCTTCAGCTCTGACTACAACTGCATCTGGCCCTAGAACACCTATTATAACAATTTATACTTTTATTTACAATCAATTATTTCGATGGAATACTATTATGTATATGTATATATGAATATAATTATTATGTGTTGACACGTAGGTTTAATGGCGACAAACAATGACACAAGAAAACATTAGCATGATTAAAAAGGATTCCGAGAATAACTGATATATAATACAATATCAGAACTATTATAATATAAAAGGTCTGACTGAAATATTATAGTTATGTAGAACCATTATTCTAAATACAGTGGGCTACAAAAGCATTCGAACACCGTTTAAAACAGAATATCTCTTTTAAAAATCAACCAAATGACTCGATGTTTTCTGAAAAACTATAAAAATTAATTTACTAAAATGTGAACTTTTGTCGCTTTAAAAAATTACAATTTGTCAAAATTGCGAAAAAAGTGGTGAACGGCAATTTTAAAATTTTTTTATCTGTTTGTAATTGAAATTTAAAATATGCCTTTTGTAGATTTAGGTAAGTTATATGTATACTGAAAATTTCGTCGGGATCGATCATCACAATTAGAAGTTACAAGCAATTAAAATTAGCGGAATTCGCAATTTTTCATGTAAGATCATAAGTAGTCATGTTCTTAGGTAAAAAGTCGTAATATAATATTTAATGACTTCAATTACTGTAAAATCGGTACAAATATTCATGCTAGAACCATTTTGGAACTAATATATGTAAAGGTTTTAAAATCATAATTGAAAACGATAAGTAACTTTTGGGTAATTAACAATTACATTACGTAACAAATAATTCTGTATTATTCTGGCCTATCATTAATAATGTGCAAAATAAAAATGAATTCAAGTAATGCTGATGTAGTTTCATAAATGAGGGGATCACAGAGCACTTACCCCAAAAATGTTTCTTTTTCTTTTCATTTGGGTTAGTTAAACCAGTATTGAGTTAAATGCCTCAATTAAGGATATAATTATTGTGGTACTTCCCACAGTCATCATTAGAAAGATCATTTATAGGTAACTTTCTTGCAAGTCCTTATCTAACTATCCGAGTATAATTATCCTCCGACCTAACTTGAATCTCTCGAATCTGAGGAATCCTTTAGGGATTTAAGGAGTTAAAATCATCCCAGAGAATATTGTATACACTCCGGTCTGCTGGTAGTCTTAAAGCTTGTTCAAACTTAGATCGCGTTCAGTCACGCGACGTGACAGATAAAGCAACTCAAACCACAATTACCACCTCTTCTTATTATTAGTCATTTTCACGTAAAAAACTTCAAATTTTGCGAAAATACATTATTGTAAAAGAAAATGTTTTTACAATTCTTCTCAAAAAGTACTCTATACCGCGTATCTTATACTTTTTCAGAATATGAATATCATAGTTATAACGAATTTTTGTGAGAATTATGTCCAAAAAACGTGTATTACTTTTCTGTATTTCACTGCTACTCCTTTAGAAATGCTACTACTATGCTTTTACTAATATCATAAACGCTTATGAACATATGTATCTATGTAACATATTTTTGTTCGTTATCAATTATTTTATAGTAGTACCTGTTTACGATAATAGCACCTATAACATTTAATGGTGGTGGTATTCATATTTTATGATAGTGGAATCAAACCACGTACACTCGCGATCAAATCAGGCTTTCCTAGGAGAAATCTTGATATCCTGGTCTCCCCCTCCTCCCCCTCGCCGTAGTCTTCGCAGATTTCCAAGTTCCCGATCTCCCTTGTAGTCGCAAACCCACTCAGATTAATTTTCCGTCTTAAGAATAATATTCCTTACTCCGACGAGAGTTAAGTATGGGGTCTTCCGTACGTGGTACAATGATTGACAAAAGCCGTGAAGAAGTAGTTTGTCCATGCCCGGTGCTATTTGGCTGCCAGACGGTGGATAGTAGATTATTTCTTTTTAACACCGCCAGTATAAGTAAAAAGCTTGGGTACGGCAGAGCGGGTTTCTAACTCTCCGAATGACAATAACCTTCCTTGTAAGCTTCTTCGGATTTCGAAGTTTTAAGGTTTTGGGGTTTCTGGCCCTCGCCGTAAGCCATTTCTTCCCCGGACTCCTGCCTTTCCACTTAGGCCCTAAGTGGAATGTTTAAGTCGTATAACGACGATGTAGGGGTGGAGGACCCATACATAGAGGTTTGATGTCTCCCACCACTTCTATATTAACATCTAGGTGAGAATATTTTAATTGATATTTAAGTTATTGTTGATATTTTTCAGTTATATGTGGGCGTTGAGTCGAGAGAGGGTTTCGTCTCCTCGGACGACTTGAGTTCGGGCCGGGGACCGCGAGGTGGCGGCGAGGTGATGGAGTGTTCTCGTAAGCGCTCGCTCGGCATGCCGTTCGAATATACAGGGCGTCCCAGAACTGGGGTAGGACCCGTGGAAGGATGATTGCTGAGGTCATTCTAAACAACTTTTTCCTTTGCCAAAATGTTGCTTAAGGCTTCGTTTTCGAGTTATTAACGAAAAACACTGGCCAATCAGAGCGCGCTTTTAACGCGGGCCCCACCGCAAGAGTGTTGGGTATGCTCTGCGTTCAAATCGTGATCGTGATCAGGTGCATCGGCACCACGACGGTGTAATAGGATTCGTTGTTCATGAGCAACCAATAGGGGAAGTTGTCGATATCGTACTAGTCTCCTAAATCGTACCACATTCAAATTTTGCTTAATGTTGAATGGTGGTACCAGCTAGCAACATCTTTTATAAGCTAAGATTTATTCCTATAAATATTCCTATATAAAATATTCCTATAAAAAATTTATTCCTATAATCTTTTATAAGCTAAGACATTCCTATAAAACCTTAAATAGTGTATCAAAATCAATTACAGTAGCTGTTCTAACAAATTTGAAAAAGCAGATCAGCCTAATGTAAAATTTTAATCATGTTGCGCTAATTTAATGATATTTATTTTTACACAAATATAAGCCTACGTTTTTATGTGCATGCGCCAATTTTCAAGTCATGTTAAAACTTACTTATAAATTAAATAAAATAAAATTATGAAAGAGCCGGCGAGTAGCCTAAATCGTACTGCGGCGTAGTTTCCCAAATCGTACCAGTACGAGTTAAACAATTGATCAATATTTTAGATATTTTTTTTAGGTTATAGTTATGTCAAAAAGAAAGTATGGACAGTGAAGTGCAAATAACATGAATAAGGCTATAATAAAACATACCTCTTCAACTAGTACATCTGCAAATATTTCTGTATCGCTTAATGAAGAGGAGTGGTTCTGCAGTTTGTATGAAGAAGTTCAACTTGAAAATATAATACAATGTTTAAGGGTACATGAGGTCTGTGCAGGCGTGTCAAAAGCACAAAATGTTATTATTGTCCTCAATGTTAAATAAAATCAGTTTATTATTTATAACTCAGAGATAGGATGTTGGAAACCAACCAGTACGATTTAGGATACCGGTTGCCAAAATCGTACCTTTGTATCATTTTTTTACTAATGCATGTAAGACGTAACAACTGCTTTCAAAATGCAGTTAACGTTGTCCACAGGTTATTTAAATGATATTTTATAAAATTGCTCAGCTAAATTCTCAAACAGACATACCAGAGCTTCATTTTCGGCAACTTCCCCCTAATTCGATACTATTATTCCTTTCTTTTTTAATTCATTATTCGATACAACTTTTGTCTAACAAATCCTATTACACCGACGCGGTGCCGATGCACTTGATCACGACCACGGCTTGAACGCAGAGCATACCCAACACTCTCGTGTTTCGCCCCACGCTAAAAGCGCGCTCTGATTGGCCAGTGTTTTTCATTAATAACTCGAAAACGAAGCCTTAACCAACATTTTGGCAAAGGAAAAAGTTGTTTACAATGACCTCAGCAATCATCCCTCCACGGGTCCTACCCCAGTTCTGGGAAACTGTATGTATAAGTTCCGAATAACGGTACAATAGGTGGCTGGGGCAGGGATCGTCTGTTGTCAGCCCCACTGACGAGTCTGATAAACGATCCCGAGACGAAACGTTTTTCTCCGCCGGCATCCTACATATACTATAATAAATTTTATAATATTTAGTAACGAAAAATTACATTGTTCTTAAATTACCTTTGATATTAATATCGTCAAAATTAAGATTTCACGAATTCCTACTTCTCCTATGTTGTCATTTTCCCTACGGAAACTTGGTTTGTTCGTAAGTGTACTTGCTTTTAATATACGTAGGAGAGAAGGTCATGAAAGACTGAACATACGTAAATACCCTTACATTATCAAGGTTTTTTAATAGTTCATTTCTCGCGTACTAAATATTGATAAAGGTAATGAGAGTAGATATACAAACTGATGTCTAAAATATGCATGTGTTTACAAAGCTCGAAAACCATAAGAATCTACCTTCACGAAAATTCTATTTGCTATAAACAATCATTTAAATATAACAGTTTCATTTCACAATGTAATTATAAGCAAGTGTCTCACAAAATACATTATAATTATTTATTAATTCTTTTTCTATAAATTAGCAACTTTAGTTTCCAAATATGAACTAACAATTAAATGTACAATTTCAGATATTTCATAATCAAACGAAAGAAACAAGTAATTATGCAAAATATTAATTTCATGTACATGTTACCGTTACCGGCAATGTATGAAAAGCAGGCATTGTATAGGATGTTTAACCAATATATGTATGTATAGAATGCCTGGCGTTTTTGGGCAAAGTATGAAACATCCGAATTTTTTTAATATTATAAAAACTTTTGCTAGGTATTGTAAGGTTTTTGTAAAATAATTATTCTAAAAATTAATAAGATAAGAAAAAATTCCGAAAGGTGTTTAATTAAAAATTTTAATTTAAAGGAAAAGTAATATTGTTTATATCAGGATTTAGATCGATATTGCCTAGGCATTCTATACAGTGCCTGCGTTTCATACACTGCCGGTAATATATACATAAATAGTGTGTAACAAATAAGGATTTATATTCTACGGAATAACGTCATATTTATTTAAGCCAGCTGTTTACATTTCGACATAACGGAAGAACAATTTTTCAGGAAAATTGGAATCTGTAACTCTGTAATGTTAAATTTGTTTTTACATCTAGCAAAGGGTCACTAACAGAATGATACTTGAAGGATTCAGTTTGCGTATATTGCAAAGTTATTAAATTTTGAATTTTAATAGAGTCTAGGTGTAAAAATAAACCAAGGAATAATGGTGTAAAAAGTTGAACATTGAAATTAGAAATATGTAACACTAACTTGAAAAGTTATATAATAGAGTCTAAGGTTCCTTTAATTTTTTTAATTGCCTAAGAAAACTTCACTAATATGTTCAATGAAATTTAGAAATTTTCTAAACTTCAGACAGATGGATCAGACACATATTGCATAAGTAGGAAAAGATATGAATGAAAAAGTAATTTTGAGCAGTGGTAAGTTACTTTTCCTTGCAATTAATATGTGAGAATTTCATATTTCAGGATAGAGGCACATTTTGATGCGACAGTTTTTTTGCAACAATTATTTAATGACACGAAATGTCATACCTCTGTCAGCATGAGAATCAGAAGTCGTATTGTTGTGATATTGGATTTCATGTCGCGACTTTAATGGGTATATTTTCACGTGACAGCAAATCGCAATTTTTACTGGCATCGTGATACGAAACCTCATATCTATGGTCGTCGTGAAAATTCATAATACTGCTATCATATGATTAGATTACATTTTGTAACTTTAATCTCACGAAATTAAATTATTGTCCACGATTCTAAGGTTCTGAACCTCTAAAATTCCAGAATTTCAAAATAAATAAGTTCTAAAATTCCAACATTCCGATGCTCTAGAATCCTAACATTCTGGAATTCTCTAGTTTAAAGATTCTAAAACTCTAAAACTCTAAAATTCTAAAACTCTAAAACTCTAATACTCTAAAACTCTAAAACTCTAAAACTCTAAAACTCTAAAACTCTAAAACTCTAAAACTCTAAAACTCTAAAACTCTAAAACTCTAAAACTCTAAAACTCTAAAACTCTAAAACTCTAAAACTCTAAAACTCTAAAACTCTAAAACTCTAAAACTCTAAAACTCTAAAACTCTAAAACTCTAAAACTCTAAAACTCTAAAACTCTAAAACTCTAAAACTCTAAAACTCTAAAACTCTAAAACTCTAAAACTCTAAAACTCTAAAACTCTAAAACTCTGAAACTCTAAAACTAGGGGAGATTCGAGGATTCTAAAATTCTTTCGTGAAATCATGCAAAATGCAAGATATCAAATACTTGACACTGTTAATAAAACTATGACAGTTGGTTTATACCAGGAAAAAATTCTGGTTACACCAATAAAAATTAGGTTATTAAAGCCATTTAAATACTGAGAAGTTGAACATTAATTATTATTAAGAAATTTAGTAAAAGTGGAGTTAATTAGTTCCCTAAATACCGTACTGCTTTGTTGAAGCTACGTTTTAATTTATAATTGAGGAATCTTTGAAACTGCATACGATATAGTACATACTTTACACGGAAACGCAAATTGAGAGTTGTTCGCTTAATTAAACGTTGGATCAATAGAGTACGATGAACTGAAAGCGAAATAGACTTTGAAAGAACAGTCGGCTCTTGAATTTTTTGACGTTTCTCCATTTGAAATACCGAAGCGGATAAAATTGAAGGCCTATGTGAAAGTTTCTGAACAAAAGCAGGGAGAGGTATAGTCTCTAGGGTTTTGTCAGATTTTCAACTCACCATCCGGATAGGTGGAATTGATTTCAGCAGTGACATCCAATTCCGGTGGCATTGATCCAACTGGAATCGAATCGTCCGGAGCTTCTTCCAGCTCCAGTTCGATCTTGGTCACGTGTCCTATACAAATTAAATCGTTGCAAAATATAATTGCACACAAAACAAATAGAAATTTTTCAACTACACTTTTGCTTTCAACACGGTCAGCTTGGCTGACATCATAAAATGTTGCACTGGTCCAACCTAACCCGATTTCGGTTAATCGTTCGAAACTTGATTAACTAAGATAAACATCTTTACTAAAGTTATTTGTAGATTGTTAAAATACGTACCACTGTCAATGATATCCTGCTGTTTGTTCTGTGGCATTGTGACATCGTGTTTTTTAGATTGATTTTTTCCCTCCACACTGGCAGTAGAAAACTTTCGCGTTGTTCTGAAATAACAAAGATGAGAAAACTTTTAGAAGAAGTTTTCATCAGTATGTAGGTGGGAAAAATATAATCTGAAGTAGTGTAGGTATACATTTTTTATACAATTAATATAGGAGTTGAAACAATTTATATGTACAATTTATTTTCGTGATAAAGTTCATAAGTTACATTGTTTTTAAATTTTCTGCTTCGTACATATTTATAAAAATGTCGTATCGTTTATCTTATGAAAATATTTACTATTAATTATACTTTTTGAGTATTTAAACAATCTGAATTATTAACAAATATTTATTTAAGTAATAAGCTTTAACACTTTAATTATATGTAGAAATGGAATAGGTAATACATTTGTTACACGCATATAAATCACTCGAATGAAATTTCAGATCGGTACTTTGAGGTTTAAAACACGAAGTGAGCTCTGTAATATGTAGTATACGCATATATTTCAGCCGTTGACGTTGATGTATCCATCATCCATCCATGATATTTTAGATAAGAACAAATATTTGGACATTTTAAAAGCAAATTTGTTGAAAGACGCTCATAAGATAAGGATACAAAACACTTTTAAGCGAAGAACTTCAATCGAGCGCAAATTTACATGGAAGTTTGTGTACTTTTCGGAAATTATGTAGTAGATTTACTTGAAACCGCAAATTATTGTTTATAACAAAATTATTTAAAGAGTTATTTAACACTATTTCTGAACAATGTCTTTCGGACAAGCGCCTCGAATTCTAAATAATTGAATAAGTAATAAAAAAGAGAACAATGCAAATTTTCAGTAGGTTTGTATTAATATGTAGGATGTCCTATGTAAATGGGCTAACTTGTATTTCTGAAATGGTGGAAAATAGATGAAAATTCCATTGGACAAAATTATGGTGTCAAATGGAACATTATCTGTTCTGAAGGCGTTCCAAAGATTTCAAGGTCAATTTCATCTTTTTATTCTCTACAAAAGAGATAAAAAGAGATCACTAATCTCTCCTTAAGATATCTTTTGAATTAACTAATTTTCGACCCAAGTGCTTTAATACATTTTTATAAAGAATTAAGAAACGTTTGACGTTATAATAAAATACACAGGACCATTTAAAAAAATAAACTTAATTTTGAATTTTTTTTATACGCCTCCACTTTTGGAAGTGACGCATGTATTACGTGATGTTCCAGTCGTCGTCATTTAATTTTGACTAATGATATTTTTTCTGTTTTCTACTATTTTGGAGATATAAGTCCAGTTACACGAGACACCTTATATAATAATGGAAGGTACCTATCTAGGAAATTAGATTTAAAAATTAACTCACCATATCCTTAATAATTAATTTGAATACGTCTGACTACATACATATGTCCATTCTTATTGTTAAGATGCAATTTTTGGGTGCCATTGGCGACGGGTTCAAAAGGTATGGGACTTTGAAATTTTCATATTTTTAAGTGCAAATGATTAGATAACATGAGAAATCGAAATATAAAGTGAAAATTAAGTATAAAGATAAAGGCATGAATTTGAGATGATTAGATGATGTTTACTAACAATTAAGATGAGTTTCAGGGAAAATTGCATGTGTGATGCAATTTACACTTGTGTGATCATTTGCACTTAAAAATATGAAAATTTCAAAGTTCCATAACTTTTGACCATTCCCTTGTGAGACCATTTGGAATAATATCCAAAATGGCTTATAGAGTCATTATTTAGAAGTCATATTGTCCATACAATTATTCCAACTCATGTAAATAAATTTATTTATTTAATAATTATTTAAATTTGTGCAGTTGAGTACTCATTCTACAGTCGAGTAATGAAATTAAGAAAATCAGAAATGCAGTTAATATGTTTGAATTCGATCTGACAACTAGCAGCTCAAATACCTGCGTTTTTTTAAAGTACGTTAGGTTTCTAGGATTAACAAATGACATTCGTCGTTTGTCGAATAGTAGAGCTCTGTCGGAATACTTGAGTTCAAAGAGACCTAGGCACTCGCACGGTTTCAGGAGTTGTTAAGTGGCATGCAGCGTAACCGCTGTTCTATTTATCGAACAATAAAACGAAAGAGTGAAAAACATTTTTTTCTCTTAGAAAATTACGCAAGAATCGTGATTCGAAGAAAAAACTGCGAAATTTAACAAATAGTGGTAGTTAGAACAGAAAATTTCGCCAATTAATTTTACGCAATTAAATCAATTGCAAATTTCTTTAAAATGGATTTGCATTTCGTTTTCATATTGATTGTTTCATCGGAACATGTTGACTAAAAGTGAGTTAAAGTACACTATTTAAAAAATTAACCATTCTGTTGTTTTATATAATATTGTACTTTAATATATTTTTAGACAGAAAGTTACGACAAATGCATTTATGTAAAAAAGAAGTTTACAGTTTCATTGCAAAAATACGAATAACTTTTAAGTTTTGTGACTTTAAAACAAAATCTTTTTTACCATTATAGATGGCCGTTAAAACAGTATACCTTTATTCTCCGAAGTTTTTTCATAGAAAACAATTTTCTATTAATAACAATAATTTTATTTTAGATGTTCCCATTTAAATGTTCCGTTCTGTATTAAAACATTTCTTTACATTTTTGTAAATAATAATAAATACATATCAAATTATGCAAAAGTTATTTTTCTTTTTATTTGAAGTTCACTTTGAGGGGATAAAATCATTTTTGAAATTTTACCAAACTGTTCATTTTTGTCTCTGTAATTCATCAACTGTAAAGATAGAAAAGAAACTTTTGATGGGAGATTACATTACATATACTTAAAAAAACACGTAAAACTGTGAAAATATACATATTGTACAGCACCGCGGATGGTAGTCTTTCCCAAGGAAAATGGCGATATTCTGGACTCCCTCTCTTCGCAGGTTTTCCAATTGCCCGGGTTCTCGGCTCTTTTTGAAGGTTTTCCAGCTTGCCCCGGAGTTCCTAATTCCCTACTTTCCCCGTAGGCTTTCCCTTTTTCGGCCTCCCACCCTTTCCCATCCGTAGCTCCGGGAGAAATGACGATGTAGGGGAAAGGGTCCTATACATAGATCAGGCCTGTCTAACTGCTAGAAGAGAAAAAGCCACTGCTCCCACTCTTACCGCTTCAGACTTCCCCCACCACCCAGTAGCGTCAGTAGTGGGGCAGCGGTTTCTAGCAGCTAGGACTAGGAATACGCGTCAAATATCGGACGAATCGGGAAACTAACTGGAAGAGTGGGAGAGCAGAGCGCGAGCTGCGTGGTAGGGGAAGGAGCCATGAGCGGCCCGCGGGCCGCAGGTTAGACAGGCCTGATATAGATCTACGGCTCCCCACCACTTGCTTCTAAACGTTTACGCAGGAGAATTTGAATTGATATTTAAATTGTTCATGTTTTTTAATTATATATTAAATTTTATAATGTTTAATACATAATTAGAAATTACATTAATTTTGTCTAAATCACTTTTAATATTACTATCATCAAAATTAAAATTTTGAGAATTCCTGTTTCCTCTATAACACTATTTTCGTTAGGAAAGCTTACTTTGGCGGATACTGTACAAATATATTTGTATATAGTTGGAACTTTTTGTTGGATCGTGGGGAGAAATGAATCTTACACTGTCTCAGATCTTTGTGCTTAGCAAAGAATATATATATTTGATCATGAATTTTTCTTCACGTGCTTGCACTCTCTCGTTCGCGATCACACACTTCTCTCTGGCAACGTCTTCTCCCAACACGCACCTCCTTCCACGCATCTTTCGCTCTTCCTTTCTCTCTCTCTATCTCACTCTCACACTCTTTCTCTCCTCGTTCAATCATTCTTTCTAGTTCATTCTCGATTCTTTCACACACACACACACACACACACTTTTGGGTTGGAAATCTTTTTTTATCAGTTGAATGTACGACACGCAAATAAACTCTATATTAATCAGCATAATATGATTCGACATGCAAAATAAGGAAGATTAAGAGAGAGAAAAATTATATTTCGTACGAACCATCTAAGAACGCTGTTGCCAAAAGAATCAGCTATTAAGTTGGCACAAGAGAAAATTCTCTCTGGACTAAATTGCGACCGGACACGAGAAATAGCTTTGCTACGACAGTTCTAATCGTAAAAAATTGTAGCTGAGTTCCGGTGACAGCATTGCAGAGTATGGTGAAATTTAGAGAAAAAATATTTCAAATAGTTAAATACAATTCAAATAAAATAATGTTTTAAATAAGAACCAGAATTTCAGTGAATAAAATAATCTGAAATATAAAATAAAATATTTTAGTCGCGAATTTTTAATGTGTTTCAGATTTACCTTGAAATTCCAAATTGAGTGAAATATGATATTATAACATGTAAGAAACCTTAATAGTTAGCAAGGTAAATTTATATTATTTTTCTTAAAATTTAAATGCACGATTAAAGTAAATGAATTTCATTTATATAAATATTTAACGACAGTTAAAGAAACTTATTTATTTACTGAATAGCATATCAAATATATGTATTGCGCCCCTTTTGAAGTTATCGCAAAATAAAAATTTTTTTTATGATATTACTAGAATATTTAACAGAATATTCCACTAATAGAATAATGCCTAATTTTACATATTTCTGACAAGAGTTTAGATGTACTAATAAGTATATATTTTGCTGTTAAAGTGGATACACAACATAAATAACAATGGCAAATGCACCACGAAAAGTCAAATCTTGATTTGTGCCACATTTGTCATAAATCATTTAGTAACCACTGTTAGTCGCGCTTAATGTGTAAACTCTGTGACGTTTCTAGTTTCGTTCACGGAACGAAGCCATACCGTGCTCATAATTCCTTTTCATTCCTCTTATCGAATATTCCATTTCAGTATCGTTGCATCTATACCTTTGCAATACAAATGGGATTTGCAGACACACGTCAAAGCTGCAATTTTTCTCTTCGACCGAATATACATAGTCGACGAATGATCAAATATTAAATGAGAAAAACAAGTTTTTTTTTCTTTT